AAACAGTAAGTTCAATTAAGTTATGTGTTGCAGCGTCGTTTTTAACAAAACTCGTTCATGAAACATGAAGACATGAATTTGATACCGAACATTTTAATAACCCTGTATAATTTACCAGTTAAAATCGTAAATAGTATTAAAAATTAACAGCAAAGTTAAGCAATTCTTCAAGAGCAGCACTGGTCTTAATTCCGAATTTTTACTTGCCCAACTTGATGGGTTTTATCTAAAAATAAATATGCATATATTATAATTTTATATTATAATTAATTATAATTGACATACACATTTTTTTTGTTTTTTTAGTTTGTTTTATTGTGCAAACAAAAGCGCTAAAAATACAGTCACAAAAGTAATTTACCATAAATTTTTAAAATACTCGTATTACTTAATACTTCGTATTATAATACGACAACTGAATTTCAATTTAAGAGTATGACAATRGGATTATTGTGCCTGTCYGCTTCAAAATAATAAAATATAAATATTGAAAATTAGTGGTCAGTTTGAATGCCGCCCACGTTCCACACAAATATGTCTTTTATGAGAATTATCACCTCATAACATTTCAAATTGACGGGAATGAAGCCGTATTTCATATAGGGTGGTAGAGGGAATTAATAAAGTTCGTGATGAATTCTCGGCACGTCGCATTCAGTTTACAATTATTTCGATGTTGAGTCCTTAAGTATTTGCTTTAGTCTTTTCATAGAGTGATTATTTGATTAGAGAGGCATCTTGTACGAGACAAATAGTGTTGGATCCATGTCGTATCGTAACAGTGACGCATGTTTCAAAATGTGACCGATTTTATGAATACCGTTAAAAGCAGACTCTATCAGATGACTAGAGATGCGTAAGTATAATAGTAATAATCAACTTAATTTCTTAGTTAAATTGTTTTAACAACAAGAAAAGCAACACAGTCAAATTATCTCCATTATGGATTATTATTAATTATCTCACATGTTGAGAGAATCGTCTAGTCCATATGGTTTAAGATGAATTAGGAGTTTTTTATTTCACTTTTAAATCGACATAGTCTGGAAATTCTCTTGATGCATACAATGATGTTACTTTCTATTTATTTGAATCTGTGCTTTGCATTTTTCATGTTTTCGGTTTTAGATAAATAACTGTTTTGTCAATTGTACATTAAATAAATCTTATTTCTAAAGAAGAACATTAAAACTCATAAATACGTATGCAGTCATTTTAGCTGCACTTTTATGGGTTCTTCAGAAAATATTTCTATATTTGAATATAGATTTAAAGTAGGCCTGGGTAACTCTAATTTTTAGGAGTTGGGGCAGTGCTACGCAAATGGTTTGGTGCGCCTACTCAACGCACCGGCGCAACTCAGTTCCGTTGCTGGGAAAATGTTGATGACTTTTTACTTGTTTTTAGATTAATTTTAAGGACCATTTATTAATAATAATTTTAAAGTTTCTTCAAAATTTCAGAATTTGCCAGTTCTAGCAAAGTTACTCTTCTTCTTACTGTTAATTTTCTAAAGTTTCACTTAAAAATGCTGACAATCTTAAGGTATTTTCCGCGAAAAATTATGAAATAAATTTTGAAACCTTTCGTCGCTTTGTAAAAAGTTTTGAAATCCCTTCGAATTTTGAACAAAAATCAAATAATTTTCTATCAAAAAACGAACAGAATAAGCGAAAGATTATAACAGATTATTTGGAAATTTCGTCACCTCCATACCTCTTAAAACTAGAGTATGTTAACTGTTAACTGTACAGTTTGTTAAAAAAATGTGGTTTCTTAGTTTTAACTCAATTTTTTTTCCTTTACTTTCGACTCAAAAACGCTTTATTTGTAGAGTTTCACTTAAAAGTACTGACGACCTGGAGGTCTTTAACGCAAAAAAAATTAACAAAAACTTTTTTCAGAGTCGAATTCGAGGCAAAATCGAAAATAAATTCTTCTCGTTTTTCCCCGAACACCATTAAGATTTTCTCTCAAACCGATCACAAAACTAAATTTTTTAATCGGAAGCGGGAAAAACAGAATTTTCTGATGATCTTCTTTTCTGAAATAATAGGGTATTTTCAGTTAAAAATTACAAAATTAATTTTGCTAGAAAATTCGCCTCATTCATCGGTTTGCAGAGAACTTTAGAAAACCCATTTCAGCTTCGAATTTGCACCAAAACCAAATAATTTGATTGCGTGTTTTTACCGAAAGTAATTAGGATAAAAAAAACGACTACAGAGCAAAATTTTACAAAAAATAATTTGGAAAATTCGCCGCCCTCATCCCTCTGAAGATTTTTAAAATTTCTTTAAATTTTCAGGTCATTCCAGTTCTAACAAACTTTCGATTAAGCAATTCTTTCTACGCAAAAATCGGATTATTTTTTAGTTTTTCTTAAAATACTGAATGTTCAGGTATTTTCTGTCAAAAATTATAAGATACATTTTATTACTTCACTATAGATTATAAGATACATTTCATTACTACACTCGCCGCCATAACCGCGTTCCAAAAATTTTTGGAAAATTTTTTGCAGTTTCGAATTTTGGACAAAACCCTCATCATTATTTCTAGGTCTTTTCTGAAAAATATTGCCCCGAACTGAAAAAGCGAAAGTTTATAATCATTCATTTGAAAAACTCTTGGAAACTGGAGTTTCTTCACTTTTAGGTGAATATTTCTACACAACACTGTCTCTAAACATAAAAACCGCGTTTTTCCTAACGTTTTACTGTAAAATACTCGCAAACTGAATCTTTTATGCAAAAAAAATAATATATCGATTTTACAAGAAAACTCGTCGACTTTTTTTGGACTCAGTTCTGTTGCTGGGTAAATCTAGATTACTTACTTTTTTTTAGTTGTTTGTACAAAATAGTAAAACCCTTTTTTAGATGTTAAAATTCCAGTCTCGGGTCTCGTACAGCATAAATCACTTATAACTCATGAACCGATGAGTTATAACTCGTTAACTCAGAGAGCGGCATCATCTCAATAGCGCAACTCAACACAGTGTTACCCAGGCCTAATTTAAAGTATGTAATACGTCAGTTTTAACTTTTCGTTATTCACACAGTGTCCAATAACTCCACTTATATAAGCATATAGAATCTAAGGTTTTTTCTTTTCATTTCAACTCCTTCCTGTGAAGCTACTCACTTAAAAATGTATTTTAATGAATTTGATGAATTTGGAACAATGAAACACAGCAACTCGACCTCGAATAGTATTTTCAAAAAACTCAATCCCCTAGAAAGCCTCGATATTGGATAATATTATTGAATCGATTGATTTCTGTTTACTCAATGATTATAATAATGTTTTGTAAACTACTTTTGTAACTTGTGGGATTTTTATGAATTTCCCGGATTTTATAGAAAATGCATTCTAACTTCAGTTCTTGACGGGTTTGAAATAGTAGATTTTGTTGTCAGTTTGTAAGTGGAAAACCCATCCACTGTTCAATTGAACTAGTAATACCTTATGCATATACTCCAAGGGAAAAATGTAAATTCTTACAAAGTAAATATGCTAATTTCTTTGTATTGGCTCATGCAAGGCGATCAAAATTTTGCTTCATTGGAAACAGATCGTTTGGAGAAAATTACAGTTTATATTTTTTAACTTCATTCAGACAGGGGACTTACTAGATATCGGACATTGCATTTAAGAAAATGTTTAAATTTAATAGATTTAAACAAGCGAATTGGTATTATATCGAGAGAAATTACAAGGAGTATCGAGATTAAGAGTGAGAATATTAAGATCAAGAGCTCGTATTCTTTGTTAATCTGATTTGAACAGTAAAATAAATATTTGCAGTGTTTGATTTAATATTTTTGAATAATTCCAGATGATCCTGCTGCTTTAAACATGCAGATATTCTAAAATTTCACTGTTGACTTAGAAGAGTTTGAAAAACCTTACTTATAAAAAAACTAGAATTCATTTCATGTCCCTACCTTATAATTCCAGTTTTAGGAATAAACAGGAAAAACTCTGGCAAATAGTGAAGCAGAACAGTTCAATTTAGGTATATCCGATAAATAAACCTATTGAACCAAACTACTTTCATACTTAATTGTCTTTCCAGTAGCTGTGAGAAAAACCTCCTACTTTACACAAATATTTCAAGGGAATGAAAAGCGAAAACACTATGGTCTGATGCTATCATGAACAAAAATGATAAGCAAGACGCATTTACATAACTACATAAGTTCTACATTGTTTTAACGGTGTATGCTTACAAATTTGTGTCTTTGCCTCAAAATTTAGACTTTTTGATAAAAAAAAATATTATTTTTATTACAAAGATCAGTAATTACGACAAACATTACGACTATTTAACTTGCTACTTTTTGTTACTTGGCCAACTCAAAATATTTCATTAGTTTTATTCGGGATGTTTCTTGTTTGTTATTTATGTTCTCTTCAATTTAAATTTCAAGCACGATTTTCTACGATTTAAAATGCAAAAAACCGTTATAAAATAATGGCATAGACATTTATTCAGAGAATGTTTTCAATTTTCATTTTAGCCAAATAAATTATTTGTCAAATCACTTGAAAAAGACACCAAGTTAGAGAATGTGATTATTTTACCTTCAAAATATAAAAATGTTTAGTTTATCGTCTTGATTTACGGTAAATGCTCTGTGTAAAGAATGTGCCCCGACATGGAGATGGCATGCCAGAACTTTCGCCTGACAATGTTTCCAACAAAAAAGCAATTTCCTATAAAGACTCTTTGGGGAGTCATTAGACGGAAAAGTATCTTTCTATTTGTCAACCGTGTCGCACCAATTCGTTCGCTTTATATGCCGATACAGAACGATTACTTACAAGCGTTGCGACTAATAGATTACTTTTCTTTATTTATATGTTCTTATTTTCACATTTGGTAATAAAAAGTGCTCTAGTGAATTTTCAAAGTGAAAAACAATGTATTTGTTCTTCAACGATTTCGGTTTTCGAATTTTGAACATTTAATTTAAAATGTGGATTCTTTTCAGCTTGCAAAAGCACATAAAAAATGCTGAAGACACCGACTATCCATCTTATGGAATCGTGGGTCCAAATAAGGAGTTCGAGAAAAAGGAAAGGGATGAAGCAGGCGATCGAAGACTAGCTCAATCGGCTCAAATGTACCACTATCAGCACCAGAAGCAGCAAATTATTGCTATGGGGCGGTAAGCAGAACATTTTCATAATATACCAATAAACAAAACAAGTTCCCAGATTGATACTAAGGTCCATAAAATAAGTCTTTCAACAATTCGCCTAAATAAAAAAAATATTACAAAGTACATATTTTATAGGGTCAGTTCGCACAAGTAATATGAATGAAGAATGAAGCTCTCGCTTTAAGTAAATACAAACTTTACATTCACAAAGGGACTGAACTAAACGGTGTCTCTTTGTCACATCGACTTTAGTAAATTAGCTTTATAGAAGAACAAGTCAGGCTTCTATTACAAGTCGGATTTTATGAATTGAAACACACCAAGGATTTCTGCACTTTGAAAATTTGCTTAAGGAATTAAATGAGATTTTCTTAACAGAGAGCTAATTTTATAAACCTAATATGCTGAGCTCAAATAACTACCCTGCTTTTAAATGTTGTGGAAATATTAGATATACTTTTAACAACGAGATTTTAAATATATTTACTAAAGACTTGAATATTTTTTGCAGAAACCCTCATGGACATGGATCTCAATCCGACACCGAGGAAGACGAAGACGATGAAGGAAATTATACAGTGTACGAATGTCCAGGACTGGCTTCGGTAAGTAAAGTACAGCCATGACTAACTTTATGGCTCCAAATTTATAAGTAAAAATAATATAATAAAAATATAAACATAAATTAATTTTATTGCCACAGTATAGGTTTCATTTATCATGCAAAAAGATGTAAAATAATAACTTTATTTGTTATACAATCTGATAAATAGAAATCAATGCAGAAATAAAAAAATCAATCATTTATCAATTTCGATAATTTAAAATCGAATAGATTTTAAGCAATTTATTTGCGCGCTTTTGCGACATCTTTCGCATTTCTATATTTTTTAAATTCTAGTCTAATTAACTAATAATTGATATATTTGCTCCGGAGATAATTGAAGGTGTGTTTGCAGCAGCAGACGCCTATTTTATATAATAAAGCAGTTTAATGTGGAAAATTTGACTAGTTAATATTGAGCAACAAATTGAACTAGAATTGAAAAAATTGATTCAAAACTTTTGAAGAACTGTTCTTATTGAGAATAGATACCAGAACCGTTTAATTTCGCGTTTAATTCATGGAAAGAATAAACTGATTTTAGGCTACTAACACTTTTTCTAACACACTTTACTAACACTTTTTCATAGTGACATATCCTCCGAAAATGTCCTTTTCTGGTCGTTGAAAGTGGAGAATCGTGAACTTTGTTAAAGAAGTGATTTTTTTGAAAAAAAAAACTAATAATAAGTGTTAGCAAAGGTCAAGCTAGCTCATTTGCTAGAAAAACACATGTTCTGATGTGATGTACACACCAGAACACACCCGTTTTATACTGATGTTTTAAATATTCATATAAAAACTATCCACAGTAGAAAACCTGGCTAGTGAAAGTTGAAAAACAAAGTGAAAAAATTTTGAATTTAAAAAATCGATCGGTCTCTATTAAAAATAAAAAACCGTTTGAATTAGGGTGTACATCAGAGTTCATCAAACGTTAATAATAGGATCGCAAACTTTCTTACACGACAATAAAGAGTATAGGTAGTTCACAGAGCAGAACACACTCGCTTTTATTTACATTTTAGATGTTCAAGTAAAATTATTCCACAGTAGAAAACCTGGCTAGTTAAAGTTGAATAAATGAGCGTCCCCTTTGAGAAGACAAAAATCGTTTAAATTAGGGTTTAAATCGGAGAAAAATATTAATAAGATCGCAGACTTTCCTATACATTAACAAGTGTAGTTCACAGCAGAACACGGTTCTTTTATATTTATATATTGACGATTTACATGAAAATTGTCCATATTAGAAAACCTGACTTATTAATGCTGAAAAACTGAGTGAAAAAGAGTTTTAATTTCAAAAATCGGTCGGTCCCTATTGACAATTTTAAAACCATTTAAATGAGGGTCTAAATAAGAGAAAAACATCAATCAGATCGCAAACTTTCTTAGACGACAATAAAAATTGTAGCGCGCAGCAGATCACGCCCGATTTATATTTAGATTTTATAAGTTCATATAAAAAGTTTCCGCAGAAGGCAATCTGGCTAATTAGTGTTGAAAACCTGGGTGAAAATGATTCTGAATTTAAAAAATCAAGCCGAATTATTGATAATTCAAAAACCGTTTAAATTAGGGTGTAAACCACAGAGGGAAGCAACTAAAAATTTAAAAAATTGGCTATTACGACAGAAAAAAGTGTAAGAGTTCATATAAAACAGAAAAGTCTCCTACAGAAAATCTCGTTTAACGGTTAACGTATAAAATGTGACTGATAGTTTGAAACTCTGACTAATAATTTGAAAATGAAAAAATCCTAGCTAGAATCCGAAGTATATCTCGGTGAATACAAATATGCAACAAAATTATAAAATACAAGTCAACAATATAGGACTGAAAGTTCTACTTCTACATCTACATCAACCAAGGGAAAAGTAATGCTAAACTTACCGAACGCTGCCCCGTGCCACCTGAAAAGAAAGAACAAAATATGTTTAGTACTGCACGAAATTTGTTCCAAGCCATTAAGAATAATAAATTTAAAGAATGCCTAAAACTTCAGCTGCTTTTCGAAAAATTAAACTCGGTTTAAACTAGAGAATTTATAGATGAGAAAAATCCTTACCAGCTTGCTGCAAGCTGGCGCCCCATCCTCCATTTTCTACCCATTGATCTTCCAAAAGTCCACATCGTACTTAAAGTCTACTTCGAATTGAAAACTTTAATCCTGCAGTATGCAGACAGAATATACTACCCCACTTGTATTTGTAATATTTACACTATTCTTTTTATCTAAGAACGCGATTCATACGGCACAAAGAAACACCCGACCTGTTGGAAAGCTGTAAAAAAACTTTAGTTAGTGAAAAGATAATTTGTTAAGTTTAATTACTTTTAGTAAAAACTGAAAATTTTTCACAAATGATGTTTTGTATTTTAAAAAAAGGCGCAGTTTAAGGCTCTATCAACTGGTTGTCTAACAATGATCCAAAAACCAACAGCGTTTTTCAAAACCCGCATTATTTTCTAATTATTGCTCTTCAGGTGAAAACTAAGAACATTTGTAGAATAATGTTTTATATGAGCCGTTTTCTTTGAAAGTGGTTTAAGTGTATTTTATTTAATATGGATATACTTAAGGTTTTGCACTTGAATAATTTAAGAAATATGGATACATGTTAAATATGATAAAAAATCAATCATTTCAATCTTTAATTTTTTTTGGGAAAACTTTTTCAAAATATACTTACATTACTTTCAAATAAAACGGCTCAAATATAAAAATTATCATTTACGTATTTTTAAGTATTTATTTAAATGACTTAAATCCTTTGCTAAATTTATAAAATAAACAATAATCCTGCTCCCATTTCAGTTGTTCGTTAAAGTTCTTAACTAATTCCATGTTTCGGTTTAATTAATTAATGCTTTCACTTAGAGAATTTCACACATCTAATAACGTAATAATAATGAGAAACCATAATATGTTTTATTTTAGTTGCATAAAACTCAAATTTCTAGATATATTTCATTGCATATTTTAAAGTAGGTACACTTATTGTAGTAGTAATTTCAATTATTGGCAATTAAATCGTTTTTTTGCGATTTTAAAGCGTTTTCCACCGTGAAATGTACTTACAAGTAGGGTTTTTTTAGATTTACTTTCTTATTATAACTAAATGTATGTATTTAATTTGAAGTGCATTCAAACAGTAATTAAATAGTAAATACAATCTAAGATCTGCCACAAGTTATTATCAATTTCTCGATATTACAAATGTTTCGAATTCCTCGATGTTACGACTATATATTTAATAATACATTTTAGATCAAAAGATAAAATTTGAATTTAAATATAAATTTACTAATGACTTACAAACTCCCTTTGACTTTGGAAAAATAATTTTGAAACTGCTGTGTATTTTTTTTAAACTGTTTGGTATTCATTACTAAGGGTTTATAAAGAAAACATGAATTTAGAAGTTCATATAGAGACTCAAATCATATATCCAATAAACGATGAAACAAAATTTATGAAAATAACTCTTTTTAAGAACGGTCTGAAAATCCCAACCTGGAGAAGTAATTACAAATTTACAACCTACGCAAAAGTGGAACTAGAATATATAAAACCACTGAAGATATAAGACAACATTTATTTAGGGGCCCTCGATTAGATCATTTGATCAATACCCCCCTAGTAAAACGAGTAAACAAATAAAAAATACATAGTTTTACATCATCTTTTTAATAAGGCATATCCATTTATCTTTCTAACCATATAAAATCTACTGATTACATTCATTTACATATTAATATCTTACAGATTGAAGGTCCGCTCGAGGTAAAGAACCCCATGTTTGATGATGACGAGCTTATGACCCCATCGCAAACCCCTTCAATGATGCCCGATGATACTGACCCCAAATAGACCATTTAAATAAAACCCCTATCGTCCTTAACTGCTCCTTTACCTCACTGCACAAATTATAGATTACTGTGCCAAAAAAGTAAGGAATAAACTATAATGCAAGACAGAAGATTTTTCATTTAATATCCCTAGCACCCAATTCGTCAACTAAGTAAATTATTCATAGAATTTTCTTTATGGCGGAATGTCCTTACTTTATTGGCAGGTATTAAGAAAGCCGTGTATTGGCAGATAAATAAATCACGTATTCAGACAGGCAAGGAATGGATATTTAAAAAATTCAATTTAAAATAGTGAAAGAACAATTATACAGACTCTACAAATGTACATCATTCAGTAACTTTAATTAAATCTGACTGCAATTTAAAAAATATATTAACAAGCACTTACTTTTAGTGGCGATCTAACTGTATATACCATTATATCATAACTACTTACATAGTTCTATTACTATTATGAGACTCCAAAGAGCTATCTAACATACTCTCTAGGTACATATTCCCAAATAAACTTATAAAATAGCTGCAGATAGTAGATTTATAAACAAACTTATGAATGTTACATAAATGTTCGTTCCTTTATTACGAAAATAAAGTTTATTTATCATGTTTTAGCCCTTAGAAAGTATATGAAATTCCAATATTTTTGCGCTGAATGCTAGGCACACAAGTGATAGGAGTGGGTACAAAAATCAGCCAATTAATGTTTCATTATTTTACATAGTATAAGGCGATAGGAATATGTGCTATTTATTTTTTTTAATATTTGCATATTTCAGGAGACCCATTGGTTGAGCAATTTGGCGAAACAATCATTTATATAGGTACTTATTTATATAATACGTTATTTGTTATAATTGTTTATTTAGAAGTAATTATATTTTTTGAATGGATGCAATGCTACTAAATAGGTTCATCATTACTGAATATAATTTTCGAGCTGGGAGGCTTTAAGATCCTTAATACTTGCTACATCGCATTTAATGAAGTCAATTGTAAATGCAGGCGAAACGTTGGATCCAGAAGCAATATCACTAGATTACGACCACATAGGCTCGAAAACTCTTAGGTAATGTTAACCATTAACGTTTATGGTTGATATCAAAAATTTTGTTAGCCCGCGTTAAGCAAGAGTGATAAAGTGAAATGTGCTTTTAAATGCTGACTTTTCATCCAACTTGAATTTTTATAAAATTTATTTCGTCTGTAAGTAGTACCTATCTATTCAAAGTGAATTTAAATAGACACAAACAAACAACAACTTTAGAAGCAGACATCATCAATATTATTGTGAAGTAGCGTAGTCAGTAGGTGATTTAGATATAGACAAATAATATCGCAGTCAAAAAATAGTTTGAAACATATCGGAAAACAACTATGACTGACACCCAATCAATGTTCCAATAGTTCTCAGAAAGAAATGTACGACCAAAGTCATATTTTACACCGTAGATTAATACCTTAAGTTTCCTATGATTTCAATAATATGTAATTTATTTTATGGTTTCCAACATTAAATGGTTTAATCTACTGAGCGTTACGTTTTTACCCTCCAAAGTAAACATCCGACTTACAAGACGTCGGTTGTCTAATTCAATATGAAAGAAAGGAAAACAAGGAAGGAGGTTGAATGAAACAATTACTAACAACTTATAAGTTAATATATTTATCAACAATAACAACTTTAACAATAAAAATAATTCACAGAGACGAAATCTAAAAAGCGTACGAAATATTGGTCCTTTAATATCTTTGGAAATGTCCTTCCAATACTGTTTAACGCAAAATACATAGGAATAAGCTCCAAGTGTTCAAATGGCATCTGTTTTAAAGTGCTGAATTCTAAAGCGATTTATAAACTCTAAGTGAGAACAACGATAATCTGTGTTAAATATTTGAAATATTTCAAAAATGCATGTTGTTTTGCTTAACAATGTATTGCGTTAATTTATTAAATCAAATTAATATTTAGAGCTTTTGTTTAAAAGAAACCAGTAAATACCAAACAGAAAACTAGGAGGGCTGTTTACAACATCTCTTTGAGTAACGTAATCTTTTACTTCAGCAACGGTCATTTCAACTACATCAATGAGTTCATCATCAGTACCACCACCTTGCGTTACCTTCATAGCGTCAGTTACTTCACAGTAATAAGCTGTTTGCACTGAAGCTGAGGTACCAACACCAGAGCGATAGGAACCTGAATAGAACAATTCCAGTCAATATCCGGCAACAGTAGCAAATGGTAGTTTTGGTTTGCAGCACTAGACAGACCTTGATTTTGTGCCCTTAATATGAATAATAATTATGAGCAAAGTTGCTAAACTATTTCGCCAAAGTTCCTCTGAAATTGGTGCACAGGAAAGTGGAATACGAAAAGTTTTTCAGTTTCTAGTTAGCTTTTTCAACTCTTATATTTATTATAAAAGTGCATATAGTTGTTGGTCGGATGCAAGCTCCTTTAGATTGGAAAGTTTGTGAGCGAGTATTAAAAAGCTCAAAACTCAGAATGGGGATTTGCTTGAGTGATGGTTTCGAAATCGTTCCATAGAGGCAACTTTTGGATTAGTCCCATTTTCCTTCAATTATTGGGAGTTTTTAAGTTTGAAGCTTCAAGGTACAATTTAGCGTCCACCACATTTGCAAACGTTTTTAAAAAAATCCGTTTTCCCTATTTTCCCAAATTCGCCCAGAAGACTGCTTTCTGGAACATTCAATGGAAGCAACTTTGCTCTATTAATCCTGCTAGTTTTTATTTAGTTATATTTTTCTCAATTTTTGGGAGGTGTTTGAAGCTTTAAGGTGCAATTTGGCTTTCATCACATTTGCCAAAGGTTTTTTGAAAAAGTCACTTTAAATGGGGATTACAACTGCTTTCCACAACATTCAATAAACTGATTTTGCTCTATTGGTCCTGATCAGGGGCGGATCCAGCTTTAAATTCAGGGGGGGGGGGGATGTAGAAAAAATACAGTCTTCTGTTGTCTATGGAATTAGAAAAATTATCGTCGTTTTGTGCAAGGGTGGCGTAAGATTATTGCAAAATTTCACGTTTTCCGTCCCGTTTAGCATGTTTCTCGGAAGCAAAATGAGCAAGAACGCTCGTTTTTACATCATTCCAAAGAGAACTAAATGCCTTTTTAGAAAGTGAACCATCGATAAGGAAATGTTGCAGTTTTCTCATCTTTTTAGATTTGCGTGGTATTTTTTTGAGTTGCAAAATCCACTTGAACATGACGCTGCTTTTTTCGAAGTTTCTCAAGAACCATTCGAGCCACAGA